GTCCCCTCCCACCTCCCACAGGGACAGCCAAGTTGGAAGCCCTTCCAAGGGCTTCCCAGACCCTTGGCCTCATTGAATCTCTCGGTGGCCCTGTCCAAGATTTGGCTTCAACACAACTCTTCTTCTGACCTGGACAGAAGTTGAGAAACTTAGGCCAGTTTCACAAATGAGAGCCAAGAACAGACATGGGTAGTGGGGGGTGGCTCAGGAGAGGGGAAGGAGGACCTTATAGGACCTTACATAAGACAAGGAGGGAGAGCGTGATTTGAGTCCTTTTTCTGTGGCCCTGCCTTTCTCCCTAATTGTCCTTCATCCTGGGCCAAGTGTATTCACAGTCACAGAAGCGTGAGTCACAGAGATGGAGACAAGACAAGAAGAGGCAGCTGTCTAGAAGAACTTACTGGGGGATAAGGATGGGAGAAACGAAGAGAAAGAAAGGCAGGACTGGGGACCTGGCTGTGTTGGTAGCGTCTGACATGCAGGGAGCACTAGGTTTCATTCTCAATATGCACAAAAAAAAAAAAAAAAAAAAAAAAAAATGTGAATGCACATGCCTGTGGTACCTACCATCAGTCCAGAGGTAGGAGCTGAAAACTCAGAGTTCAAGGTCACCCTTGGCTACATAGCAAGTTCGGAGACATTCTGGGCTACATGAGACCCTGTCTCAAAAAAGGAGATGGACTAGAGAGATGGTTCAGTGGTTAAGAGCCTGTACCACTCTCACCGAGGGTCCACTTTGGTTCCAACACTCATATCTGGTGGCTCACAACTGCCTAGAATTCCAGCTCCAGGGGGTCCAAAGCCCTCTTCTGACTTCTGAGGGCAACTGCGCTCACATGCACACACCACATCCATACCCATCACCAAAATATAAATACAAATCTTAAAGAGAAAGGGGGCCTCCAAGTGCTTCGTCTCCCACCCTCCCAGAAGGACAACAAAGTTAGATACACTTCCAAGGGCCTCCCGGACCCTTGGCCTCAATGTCTTTCCTTTTATTCTCTATTTCTTTTTTTTTTTTAAGTTGACAAACAGCAATAGTGAGTGTCCATCTTCATGTCTTTGTGTGTGTGTGTGTGTGTGTGTGTGTGTGTGTGTGTGTGTGTGTGTGCGCGCGCGCGCGCACGAGCGTCATTTTACTACACACCTTTCAGGATCCTTTATTGTGACACTGAGAGAGAAAGAATAAAATTCATAGAAAATTTCATAGACAAACCACAAGACATAGAGGACTACAAGAAGACCGGTGAAATGAGGACTCTGGGGAGGGAACCATAGAGGAGTCCGGTGAAATGAGGACTCTGGGGAGCGAACCGATCTTACGAAAGGCCTCTTGGCTGGAGTGGCAAAACTGGACTTGAACCTAGAAACTCAGAACAGAAGAGCCCAAAATA